GACAATTTTATCTCTGAAACATTTTTGTCTGGGAGCCCAGACACTCCCCAAAACTTCCCAAATTTTCACAAAGGGGACACCATTTTTAAATCCCTTTGTAAAAGTCACTTTAATGTGTATTTAAATGCTTCACTGAAACACTGGACTACACCCTCACCTCCCATTGGTTACCTGCAAAATTTTCTATATATACTGGTTAAAGACTTGGTTCACACTGGTTTTTGCATGCTGGTGCCACTGGTTTAGGCATCTGTACCTGGGCATAGTCACTCTGGTCCCTTGATCTTAAAGGGAGCTGATCGGTGCACAGGGAAAAAAATAAAGAATTAAAATCTTAGCCTTGGTTTACTATACATGGTCAGAGGTACAATATTTCACTCTTAGCATAGATGGATAAGGAATGACATAAATCACAGCCAATTTATATCTTTTCTAACTCCTTTCCCAACAAGGTCTTTTAAAACTGCCTGTTTTTTTTCCTTTGGCTTAATCAGGTCACAAAGTTTTAAATCAATTGACAAAGATTTTAGTAAGCAGAGTACTTGGTAACTTTTAAACCATATCATTTACATATAGACAAGTAGACAGACAAACGGATACATTTGTGCACAGATTATAGAGCACGCTTACACTTTAAAATCAGCTGTTTAAGGCTTTTTGGAATTACTTTGCCTAATTATGATGGAACCATATGGTCAGTTTAAACACAAAACTTTGCCAACAACAAGAAACTTTTAGTAAACAGGAGACAAGAATAGACATGTGACATGATATAATTGCACTGTTCATCAGGTCAGAGAGGGGAAAAGTCACAGAATCAAGTTGAGTTGGCACGAAAATCAAGTTGGCATGAAATAGCAGCTGAGCTCCCAGAATGCCAAGATGGTACATCTTCCACATGGTCAATGCTAGAGAGAGCTAAAGATTGACAGTGAGGGTGCATTACTTCTGGCACAACTGGAGCTTCAATTACCACCCCCCACAACAAAGGCAGAGGAGGAGTCCCACAGGGGATTCCACAAAGGAAGGGCATCCACTGGGAAGGCCACAAAAGAGGGTGTACCTCACAGGGAAGTTCACAAAAGGGGATGTACCTAGCAGGGCAGGCCACAGAGGAGGAGTTTAAACTTAAACTCATCCATACTTTTACCTTTGGTTGGAAAGGAGAGGTTAAGAGAGAGACAGAGACAGAGACAGACAGAGAGACAGAGAGACAGAGAGACAGAGAGAGACAGAATTCTACCTCCTGAGCATTCACATAAGTAGAGTTTTAAGTTTGGGGCCAAATTTGATTGTAAGGAAATTTAGTTCTGTCCTTTTCCATGGTAAGTGATGATGCAACCAAAATCTGACTGCGGGTGTCCCCAGCAGTGAATTTGGCTGAAAAAGTGGGAAACAACTAGTGGGAAATGCCATATTTCTCCATGGCATCCCTTGTTGGCATGGAGGCCATCAGCTAGGTTCTTGGTAGGGAGAGGGCCTGAGGCACCCCCCATGAAAAGCATGGAGCCTGAACAGTGATCACTTACCTAGAGGAAGGTAGAGTGCTCAGTCAGGAGAAAGTTACCTTGTTGGTACTCTGGTGGTAGGAGTTAGGATCTCAGGCTAGGTCTTGGGGAAGCTGGTCGAACCCCCATTCGAAGTGAAGCAGGGGAGCAAATCTATCAGGGAACTTATCCCCATAGAGCCACCAATGAAAGGCTCCCATCAAAGGATCCTTCACATCCATCCCAGAGGACCACACAGAGGCAAGCAGGGAGGAGAAAGATTATTACGAGGTTTATTAGAGGAGTCATATTTGCCCTGGAAAGAGCAGGACAGCCTCCGCTATAGGTAGCAACAGGGTCTGAGGGATAGGAAGTGAAGTAGAGGGAAGTTCAGGTGGGTTTGGGTAGAGAAAGGGAGGGGCAAGCAGGTCTGAGTGGAGCTGAGGACCAAAGGTGGGCATAATGCTTATAGAGTGAACTGCTTCTTTGCTCCCAGAGATGAAACTGCAGACCTCAGAAGTCCATTGGCATCTTCTCAGCATCCCACATAGAAAATTCCCAAGACTGCTTCTTGTATGTGAGGCACATAGAAGGGTTATGACACTCATAAATTATCAAGAACTGAACTGTCACTTAACCAGAAAGAAGGGGCTTTCAAGTGAAGGGATGGTTCTAAGTTGGAAAAGAAGATGGAGCATGAAGTTCTAGCAGTCCTCCTCATTGATGACAAGGCTGAATGCCAGTTTCTCTATCTGATCATATCCACATGAGTATAACCACGTGAAAATGAGGTCTTCCTTCAGCTTCCTTGGGATTCATTCATGAAAAACATCTCAGGATGTTTCACAACAAAGAGTCTCACACAAAGTATAAGATTTATTTTAGTATAAAAAGTTAAACTAGACAAAAATAGAAAACCAGAGAAACATTCCCTGGTCCCCGTGAAGGAACAAAATAGTGACATCGATAGCCTTTGTACTTCCTGAGCAGGAGAAAACATTGCGGTCTTGTACAAACCCTTTACCTCAGCCCTGGTTTCTTGGTGAATAAGGTCAATACTGTTATTCTAAAATATGTAGATGCTTCTGAGTTCACCAAAATATTGGACAATAGGTGAACATTGGGGCTCCTTTTTCACAGATATGTTTTATTTGTTGTTGGTGGTTTTATTGTTTATCTTTCTAAGTCTATCCATTCAGGAACAGTTGGTGGCCCTTTATTCTTTGAAAGGAGAAGGCAGATTACCATAATACCTTTCAGATCTAGTTCTTACAATTTAAAAATAAAGTTTAGTGAGAGGGCTTAACTGCTTCTACAGTTCAGTTCCTTATTTCAGCTTCTGAGTCTGGCCTTTTTGGTATTTGTTAAAAATAATAAAATTTCCCACCTCCTCATTCACATATCTTCCTCCAGATTAAAGATCTGCCCAGGAAGATAGTGGATGTGAAAATATCACTGAGAGCTGGCAAAGTGGAAATTTACATTGAAATAGTTTCTTGATTATTACCTTTTACATACAGACCTCTTTGTTCATTTGTTACCTTATAACTATAATTTAATAACAAGGAGGTTTTCTTATTATTTGGTTTGTTTACATTATGCTTCTCTAACGCCTTAAAGCTTAAAGATTACTCTAGTTTAAAGTGCAAACTTATGATGACCACATCATAGATCAAGTTTGCCATATGAAGGAGAAATGAAAAATCAAAGGAATCTTATTGCTTTGTCATTAATGCAGTGATAGCTCTTTTGCAAAATATGTATTGGAATTATTGATTAATACATGAAGAAATTTAAATGAAATACCTGGCATTCATTCAAATACAAATAAAAATACCAGACTATTCATTGTGCAATAAAGCTACTTAATTACCTTAATAACCAAGGATCAAAAAATCCATTGCTTTTTATTCTCCTCCTTCTATACCCCCAAATGGTTGGCTATTCTATTTAGATTTTTTTTGGTCGGTCGTGGAACTTGAACTCTGGGCCTGGGTGCTGTCCCTCAGCTCTTCAGCTCAAGGCGAGCACTCTACCACTTGAGCTACAGCACCACTTCCGGTTTTCTGGTGGTTTATTGGAGATAGGAGTCTCACGGTCTCTCCTGCCCGGGCTGGCTTTGAACCGCAATCCTCAGATCTCAGCCTCCTGAGTAGCTAGGATTACAGGCGTGAGCCCCCAGCGCCTGGCTCTATTTACATTTTTAATGTCTCAGAATATCTTTGGAAATTTGAAATCTTTTATCCAATGCAGCACTCAATTCTAGAGGGGAGTGAAAGAGAGAGTCTCTACTTTCCATCTTGGATGATTGAGTACAATATCATTTAAAAAATCATGGTTCACACTAATATTTCACAAGAATGAAATTAAAATATGCCTTAAAACACAATATCTTTCAAAGAGAAGTAAAATTAGTCATTAATTAAACTGGTGTTCAGCAACAAAGTTATTTTGTGTCTAGTAATATTATCTACAAACAATATTATGAATCCATTTACTATTGGGAAAGGATAATGACATCCATAAAAACATGCTTCAACAGTATTTTTGGAAATTCATGAATTGTTTCTGTAATCCTTGACTACTGAGGAATTTAAATGTATGACATTCATTTATAAGAGAAGGACTAATAAACCTAAATTTCCATTTAAATTAAAATATAAATTTTCTTGTGTCCAACCATAAATATAATTTACCTGTTACATATCAACTGAATGGTGTTCCATTATGCAATCAGATCTAGAAAATTCTCTAATTACATTTAGCAGAACTTTTGCAAGAAATGCTTTTATTATTGAATAGTTTGTTTTTTTAATATAATTTATTATATACTATAAAATTGTAAAATACAAGTAGTACAGGAAATTACTATTAACAGATGTTAACTTGTAATATAAATAGTATGAAGTTAAAGTGAGTAAAATAACTTCCTAAAGGCAATTTGTTTTCTGGAGGCCGTTTTGTAAGTAAATATTAGCAGCAAAATTATTTTTACCATACTAAGTGTGATACTTTTAAAAAAAAGCATCTTTTTTTTGTTCTGTTACTTTATATTTCTCATTCAGGAAATTATACCAGGCGATCAGTTATTGGGGTTATAGCCACATTTCAGATTTTGAGTGGTTTAACATTATGTATGGTCAAATACCAAAATCAACATGAGAATGCCAAAATTTAATAACATAAACATAGGTCTCACTTTCTTCAACACTAACTAAAATGAGCACATTAATCTTTATATCTTGAAATTCTGATTGGCTCTCCTTCATGTCCATTTCATATTGGGCTGAAAAATACAATAAAATTCTATAAGATGAAAATGAAAAATCTGTGCTAGGGCCAAGTGTGATAGTTGTAAATTAATCAAATAGGGACATAGAAAATTAGATAATAGGCAAAATAATTTTGTAATGTGATATCAAAATTTTTAGAATCTTCCATGATTTTCAGTCTAATTTTAAACAAGTGCTTTAGTCTGAAGGCTTTCCTTTTCCCACTCCTCTCTTATTACAGGCTGTGAGCACAGATCCAGTCCCAGTGAAACTACACTATGACAAATCACATGACCAGGTGTGGGTGCTAAGCTGGGGCACTATGGAAAAGACTTCACCCACACTACAGGTAAGCACTGTCCCTCTATGTGTATTTGAGAGAATGATGACATTAGAATTTGTAAATGTTCCACTAGTTCCACTTAACAATGATAGTCTCCATCTGAGAACTATAGTTTTCACTCACTAGGTCTACACAGCAGGGAAAGAAATGTCTAATCAAGTGTTGTTTGGATTGGGGAAAGCTGTGGGTCATGTTCATTAACAGTTATATTTATATGCAAAAAAATAATGTTAAAAAGTTAACATTAAAAGTAAGCATTAGAGAAGAAAAGTCATTAAAAATAAAGAACTTTATTTTACTTACTGGGTCAGTTTATCATCATTATAACAGAATTCCTGAGGCTAAGTATATTATAAAGCATAGAAGTTTCTTTCGATTTCTGGTTATGGAATCTTTGAAGTGCAATCACATCCAGCGGCTTCTGCAGAGGGCGCTTTGCTGCAACATAACCTGGAGAATGTTGTGCTTGTAGAAACTGTGCATGTATATGTACCTGCAAGGTTTCTCTGTGCTACAACACCAGCCCTCAATAGGGAATTGATCCCTTACTTCATGAATGAATTTGTCTATTCATGAGGACTCTGCAAATATCCCAGAGAAGGTCCTCCTGTTGTGACACTATTCCCTCAATAAGGGATGAATCTCTTTCTTAATTCATTAATGATTTTATCTTCTCCTGAGGGCTCTGAAAATACCCTAGTTTCTACTACTCATGACTGTGCACCAAGACCACATTTCTGACTGGTGAACTTTTAGAGGGCACATTGAAAGCAAAGTTATCTGTCAGTAGGCAATATTTGGTGGGACTATGTGAGAAGGCCAGGAGAATTAGATCACAGGAAACTCCATTTCACTACAGACATAACCGGTTCACTTTTAATTGGGGAATATTCTGGTATTCTTGTGAGTTTGCTTCTTCTTTAAAATTGTTTTTCTGAGGACACCAGACACAGAAAAGGAAAATATGCATTTTGATATGATGACTCTTTGGCACAATTTCTCAATATTAGGAGTCATAGGTTTAAGAGGAAATAAGGAATCAGAAAAAATTTTTAGTTCTGGAAATATGTTTCATACAGTTTTGCAAATCACTTTTTGATTAGAGTTTTGACTCAGATATGTCCTTTCTTACCATGCCCTAAATCATTAACCTCTGGTCATTTTTTTAAGCAAAATATGTTGTGGCCAATGTTTCCATTTCTAATCACTGTCACTGATATATTATGTGTTGCAGAATTAAATCACAAATAACAGCTATTTAAAATATTTTAATTGGTTATCTAAATAGTTGCTTAATTTGTGTTTAACATAAAACATACAATTTCAGTTATTTATTTTGTAAATAAGCCACAGCAAAATGTGGTTATCTTAAACCAACTTAAAAGATGGCATATCCTTCTAAGTTAATTCTATTTTCAAAGACCTATTGGTTTGATTGAGGTGTGAAATTTGGTATGTAGATACTAGGCCAAAAGTCTAGGAGTGCTTTGTTAACTCAGGCTTCTGGTTCCTATTTCCAAATAAAGTGACTCCTTGAAGGGCAGAGAAAAGAGATTTATTACATGGCACCCACAAGAAGACAGCACTTTATTAAGACTTTAGCAATTTCCCATTGTACATGGGCCTAAGTTTAAATTGAGAGAATTGAAGCAGTGAGAAAAATACGTATTGTTAAAAGAGTACCAGGTCGTAGATTTGGTCTGATTGATTATTATCTCTGTCTTTGTCTCTGGAGGCGGGGAAGATTTTCTGTGGCTTTGGCTATTCTCTTCAAGAGAAAAATGGCATTGTCTGTCTGAGGGGCACTTTGTCTTTTGTCAGAAGATGCTTATTGGTGAATCCTGTTGTTCCTGGAGTACAAGGCAATTATAAAATGACTGTAGCAGGAATTGGTAGAGAACAAAGAGCACAAGGTATAAATAAGAGACTGGAGGCCAAATTTTAATAAATGCACATGCTCAAGCACAGTGGCTCCAATCACCTCTAGGTCCAACGTGGGCTCACTCACATATTTTGCTTAAAAAAATGACCAAAGGTTAATGATTTAGGGCATGGTAAGAAAGGATATATCTGAGTCAAAACTCTAATCAAAAAGTGATTTGCAAAACTGTATGAAACATATTTCCAGAGCTAAAAATTTCTTCTGATTCCTTATTTCCTCTTAAACCTATCACTTCTAATATTGAGAAATTGTGCCAAAGAGTTATCATATCAAAATGCATATTTTGCTTTTCTGTGTCAGAAGGACTAGTGACCTTCCAAGTGCCATGTGCCCCTTGTAGGTCACTCTGGTCCTTTATTTAGGCACCATCACAGCAGAACAGTGTCAGGTAACAAGAGAGTAATGTTAGAAGGCTAGTTAAGATCCAGGCACATGCAAAATTCACATAATGTGACTTTTACCACATCCTAGTTACCAAATCAAATGCTATTGTCTGTCCAGATAGGAAGTCATTTATTGACATATTGTCATAAGGCAGAGTTGAGGTTTAGTGAAACTTCTCTTTAAAGGTAGGAGGGTCCTTGGCTTGGATCAGAGTATAAGAATTTCTGAACAAGTCACAATGGTAAGAAAACTTGGAAGAGCTTTATTGAATAAGTAAACAGGCAGACAAACACAAACAGATTAAAAAAGTAGACAAACCGAAGGACAGGGGCACATTCTAGCAGAGTGTGGATGCTCTCATGAGGAAATAAAGAAATACAGGGAGACAAACACACAGAGAGATGCAGACCCAGACCCAGACCCAGATACACACACACACACACACACACACACACACATGGAGACACACACAGAGACACCCAAAGAGTCACACAGCTCCTTGGATTGTTGGGGTATATATAGATTGTAAAGTTATACAAACCAAGTCCTTTGTCTTTGCTCTTATCACACATGGTGTTAATACTTGGGGTGATGAATACATCCCTCAGAAAGGAATGCATCCTGTTATATCTTCCTAAAGCAAAAGATAGCATTTCTAAGTTCCTAAATATCATATTTCTGAATTTCCTTCACCAGGCCTCAATTTCCTTAAGTTATCCTGCTTCATTTCCCCTAAAGTGACTGTGTTTCCTTACTCTTAAGGGAACTATATCAAGGAATATCTCCTGTATTTGCTGTAAGCAGACCATTCCTCATTTTCCATTCATCTATCCTACTTCAATACTGGCTGATACTTCCCCCTCCTAGCTGGAAGTATGATCAATATCATGAATCTTGGCGAGGCTGAGCAGGAGCTCAGGGTATAGTTACTTGAGATTTTGTTTTGTATATAATCTTTACAAAATGAATAAAACAGGTTAATAAGTATGTTGTCTAAAATACCTATTCTTACAAATTATTTCAATAATATTAAGAATTTGTTATTTAGTTATCTTAAACCTTAGAAAAACTAAAAAACCATAAATTACTTTTTCTTAAAAAACTGTACAGATTTACAACATACTACATTCTTCAGAATCAATTATTTCCTTCTCCATTGGGTTAATCTATTTGGACAGATGAAAATATGTTCCATAGTTGAAATACTTAATTTAAATAATTTAGGTAAATAAATTAAATATTTTACAAATTCCCCATCCAAACAAACAGACTTTATGTAAGTATTAAACAGTCACAGAAAATGAGTTTTTCTTCTCAGAATGCTAAAAATGTTTTATGCTAATAGACTATGTAGAATTAATGTTTACTAAATGGTAAATATGTTATGAAAAACATCTGAAAATATAAAAGAAAGTGTAGACATTGAGCATTGAAAGGAGTGTCACATCCATTCCAGGGGACCAGGCAGAGGCAGGCATGCACAGGAGAAAGATTATTACAAGGTTTATTAGAGGAATACAGGAATGGGAGGAGTTCAGGTCTGAATGGAGCTGAGGACAAAATGTGGGCGTAATACTTACATTCCCTGCTTTGTTGTTTAATAAAAATACGGGTACCAGGCTGGGGGTATGGGTGGAGGCCGTTTCTTCTGAAGCTACTTCCTGCTGTCAAATTACTCTTTTATTTAGAGAATTACTCTTGTGTTTAGAGAAACAATCTGTAGTTTAAGAAAAATTGAAAGGCAGAAAAGAAATCCTTTGTAAGATTCACACATAACTGCAGCTTTAACTGTCCAATAGGAAAAGAAGAAGAAACTGGAATTCAGGAACTCTGACAAGAACTAATGGAATTTTTAAGTATAATAGGATATCAAAAATAGAACCTTTCCTCTAATTGATCATGAAGTTTAAGAACTAGGAATGAGAGAAAAGCTATGTTGATTAAAACTTACATTAATTGGTTATTTTCAATTTACAGAAGAAAAACATTAAAATATGTTTCCATATGTTGCAACACTTTTCAAAGTTATGTTACATAACCTTTATTTTGGAATTTTCTGGTTGTAGTACTAGCTTTGTTCTGCTTGAAGAATGTTGTTCTAATAACTGAATTACATCACCTTATTGTTAGTTTTATTTTTTCTGGTTATAGCAAAGAGCACATTGTTCTCATACAAATATTACTTATGAGTATATTTATGCTCATTTTCCTCAATAATGTTAATATGTCCTGAAAGTTTTGTCTAGGAATTGTTTAGACCTTTCAGAGAGTCCTTACAATATTTAACCAGTAACAATATTACTACTTATGGTATCACCAACTACAGTGTCACCTATAGTGTCCTATAAGATTATAGGAATATCTTTGTATTTGTGATCCTGTTGACTATGTGACATGTGACTATATATATATATTTTTTTTTTTTTTGGTCGGTTGTAGGGCCGGAACTTTGGGCCTGGGCACTGTCCCTAAGCTCTTCAGATCAAGGCTAGTGTTCTACCACTTGAGCCACAGCACCACTTCTGGCTACTTTCTGCTTATGTGGTGCTGAGGAATCAAAGCCAGGGCTTCATGCATGCAAGGAAAACACTATCACTAAGCCACCTTCCCAGCCCATGTTACTATATTTTGTATTCTAAGCATATGTTGCTCAAGATAAATATTTTTAGCTTTTGCTTTCTTCATAGAAATAAACATTTCCATATGAAAAACTATCAAAATGATTACAAATGGTAATAGTCTTAGTTATATATATGCTAATTTTTAAGGGGCACAATAAAGATTCTGTAAAAATAAGTGTCAGAAATTCTTGTTTACAATTAAACCTCCTACCATTAAGGAAATGTACTTCCCAGGTTCCACTAAGCATGGAATGTTATGTTTAGGTAATCACCCTGGCCAGTGAGAACGTGCCTCACCACACCATCCACACCCAGCCAGTTGGAAAGCAATTTGACAGAGTGGATGACTTTTTCATTCCCACCACATCACTCATTATAACACACATAAGGTAAGTGCTAAATGACCACCTGATTAAGTGTTCTTTCTAATATCAATGAAAGCCACATGAAATCATATGACAGTGGAGTTACAGAGATAAGATTTCATATGATGTGGTTTGCCGACACTTACATGATGTACTTTTATTTATCAATATTAGAGACAAATTTCTTGCTTTATACTTCTTTCCATGCCTAATGAAGAGCTGAATTTGTCAATTGGGCATTCATTTTGTTATTCTTATTAATGTAACATAGAATATTTTCCAAATTGTCATCAGAGTCCTGTCTCCTAGATTCTTACAAAATGCTGGTATTTCCTGAAAAATGTAAATGACTTAAATACTAGACTTACTTATCACAGAGAATATCAGTTCTAACTGAATGTGGTTCAAGAGCCCTAACCACAGAAATCCATTCAATAAAAATTTACAAATTATTTTATTAATTGAAATTCATATAAGTAGTAGGCAGTGAAAGATATTGATAAGCAATAGCTAAAGTCTGCACTTTGTTTCGTGAGACAGGTTTGGTGCTTTCTATCTCTTCATGTATTTCCAAAAAGTACAAAAGTAGTATTAATTTCTAGTGATATCTGTCTCAGGCCTCCTAGAAGTGGTTAAAGCATTGAGGAAGTGTGGGTCTGGAGTGTACAGTTAAGTTGTACACAGTAGGGACTAGGAGGGACTGACTGTGATTCTGTGCTGGAGAGTGAATCCACATGTCAGAACACTGTATCTTCTTGGGCTTTGAAAGACCATTACTGAGCTGGAGTTGCAGCAAAGTGATCTTTTCATATACTCATAAGATAAAAAGTGTATTTCAGAATATTTTAGCATTGTTATTTCTTCGGAGTATGTGGTGAAATACATCTGTATCTATCTAGTGATTTATATTTAATTTATTATGGATAAAAACAAATTATGGCAATCCTGTCTGCACAAAGAATCCCGTTTTGCTGAGCAAGATTTATGAATAACTTTCTTATTATAGCTCAAAATAGTTATTTCCTATTATGACCATGAATGTGAAAACTGGCATATATCTCCAAATGAGCTGTGAAATTTGTAAAGCATTTTCAGAAACACTTGAATAATAGATGTGGTCCTTCTCCTACCTGTTTGCTCTATTGGACTCTTAACCAAATTTGGCATGTGTGCAAATATGTGTGGCTGAGAAAGAATCTGATATACTTTCTGACTAGTGCACTAAGTAGATACTTCCATATCAGAGGGTCTGACCCAAAACAAATGTTTCGTTAGTATTCATTTCCTTGCTTTGACCTTTCAACACATTAATATGATTATTGCTCAGACTGCATATATTCTTATTTCAAATGATTTCTATTCTAACAGACTTAAATTTTATGTCCTCAGAGACTATGGAATAGCAAAAATTTAATTCTTAATTCTCACAGGATTAGAAAGAACAGTGTCAAACTGTAATGTACCTGGTGCAGGAAAAAGCTGTCTTCCTGATGTTCCGATTTCTCCGATTTCTCAGTGCCTAACACATTACTGGACATTTAGTGAGTGCCTTATCTAGAACACTTGGACGGTGTGGCTCCTGTGAATTGAAGAGAGAACCTACCCTTACTGTCACACAAACCCAAATATACTGTCCTAGAGGCAGTGTTTGTTATTGACTCTGGCAACCAGAGCACCACACTCCATTCCCTTCTGAGGGATGAAATAAAAGAATGGAGTATTAAATTGTTCAATAACAGTTGTTATGAAGACTATTCACAATCTACACAGGTTCATTGGTTTTATTAGGTTACTCTCTTTTCCCTGGCTTGTTTTACTTCATTTTTTCCAGATTTTTTTCCCATTCATTTTATTTCTGTACCAGTAGTTCTCAGGACTTTTTAGTTGTATGGTAAATCACGAGTGTGGAAAATACCAAATAGATATGATAACTTGTTTGTGAGTGTACTTCTATGTATGTATATAGATTTCTACATATCATAGTATATTTCTTCTTCCATATGTATATGGAAAACATGTCATAAACATTAAATATATGAAAATAATTCTACAAATTTGTATTAAATTTTGTAGTTTTAGCATGTTTGAAATTCTCAACACTTCAAAATTTTGAAATCCCGATTCAGGCCTTTTTGAGCTCCAATAGGAATTGGAATTTCAGCCAAATGTTTTTGATAGGCAGGGTGTATGTGAATGAGGGACTGCCAGCAGTATCATTCAGTGAAGTCGATGCCCTGCTCTGGGGGAAAGAGCCTCTACCCTGAGCATCATTCCTTGATTTCCTACAGAATGAGAGCTGGTTAGTGAATTATCCCTTCTGGTTTTAATAAATGAAAAAAAAATGTTCTTGAAAAATCAGAAGCTTATATGAGGGCAAGACTTGGGATAGCCAGAAGGAACAATGCCATTCTAGATTTGTTCGTAATTAAAAATTTCCTTAAACTCTTGAGTTCTGGGAAACAGGGAAATCTTGAGACCTTGTCCTTATTTTCTTGAAGGAATAAATGTAAAAGAAAGTTTCAGAAAAGTTATACTTCTGTCTCAGAAACTCCCACAAACTTGCTACATACTTTCCTACAACAGTGTGAACTCTTCAAGACAAAAAAAAAATCTGACTTAAAATTTGGTTAGTAACACAGAGATGTTTTTCTGGTAGTTACTGAAAATATATTCAGTCTATAAAATATAATCAATTAGTCTATATGTTTGTGACCTCTAATTGTTTATAGAGATGATGATCTGTGAATTCTCACAATGTATTTCTTTGAACATATAATATTGCATTGTTCACACTGGTAATTCATCCCATGTTTCAATATTAACTAACCACCATTTTTAAGACTTGCAATTACTTGGGCTGGGAAGGTGGCTCAGTGGTAGAGTGCTTGCCTTGTATACCTGAAGCCCTGAGTTCGATTCCTCAGCACCACATAAGCAAAAAGAAACAAAACCGGAAGTGGCTCTGTGGCTCAGGTGGTAGAGCGCTAGCCTTGAGCTGAAGAGCTGAGGGTTAGTGCCCAGGCCCAGAGTTCAGGCCCCACGACCGGACTCCCCCTCCCCAAAAAAGACTTGCAATTACTAAAGGATATCCTATAGAAACCCTATACTTCAGCAAAAACTGATATGTTTTGAATTATCATCCTATAGCTGAAGGATTTATGTAACCAAAAGAAGTATATTTGGTAATCACATGAGAAAGATAACTTAAAGAATTTTGCTTTACATTTCTTATACAAGCTGGGTGCTGGTGGCTCACACCTGTAATTCTAGCTACTCAGAAGACTGAGATCTGCGGATCACAGTTCAAAGCCAGCCTGGCTGAAAATATTTGCAATTCTTATAAGAATCAATAATGTTTATCCCATACAATAAACATTAAAATGAAAATAATGATGGTGTGTGTGTGTGTGTGTGTGTGTGTGTGTGTGTGGTATGTGATATGCACACATGTATATGTGTGCATGAACACACCATTTCTGGAGCTTGAACTCAGAGCCTGAAAGCTTTTTTTAGACTTTTCACCCAAGATTGATGTTCTTACACTTGAACCACAGCTATTCTTTTTTTTCTATCTAATTGGAGATAAGTGTCTCATTGGCTTCCTTGACTAGACTGGCTTTGAACCTCAATCCTCAGATCTCAGCCTCCTGAGTAGCTAAGATTATAGATGTGAGCCACCAGAACCTGGCCATTATTTTTGAAAATGAAAAATGTGCTATAACCATGGACATTTTTGTTATTCTACTCATATTGGTATTTGAAAGTTATTATACAGCTAATTATCATGTTAAATTGACATTTTAATAACACATGTAAATCGATGTGTTGAATAATATTATAATTTTGCTGATCAAATAATTTCTTTATCATATGGAAAATTCACGAGATCCAGTAATTCTTATTATCAATCTTTTGGAATTAGTTAAGAAATTAGAATGTAATCAAAAATAAGTTATTATTTTTCATAAACAGTTTTGACAATGGTTCTATTAAACCTCAAAGCAATAAATCTCATAAAGCAGAGGCATTTACATAATTGATTGTTTTATTTTCAGTACCATCCTAAGAAGAATTTTCAACTTTTAGTTTCACTCTGTATGGATACTGGAGCTTGCCAGGCAGAATTTACATAAAATGAGGAACACAGCAGGCCTGGCAGTATGTCATGTAACCATGTTTTCTTTTAATGTCTGCCTAAAAATGAGCAAGGTGAAGAAAACTGTCAGAGTAAAAGAAGAAGCTGAGAGGAGAACAATATTTTGGACTGAGGGATCAAGTTTTTCATAGTGATCTCCTTTAAAATATGTTCAATAATTCTTCCTGAAATTCCTATATTTTAGTAGTGGGGGAATAAAGGGAGCTCTTCACTGATGACAGAGCACAACATGGAATGTGCCACAGCTAAGTGCTTTACACAAGGTCAGAAAGAGCATCAGTAATTAGGTGTTAATGGTTCACACTTGTAATCCTAGCTATTCAAGAAGCTGAGATCTGAGGATTACAGTTTGATACCATCCAGGCATACAAGTCCATGGGATGCTTATCTCTAATTAACTAGCCAAAAGCTGGTATGGCTCACGTTGTAGAGCAACATCCTCAAGCAGAAAAAGCCTAAGGAACAGTGCCAGGCCCTTGAGTCTAGTACCAACCCTTATCCCCTCTTCCTGCAAAAAATAGCATATGCAAGCAATGGACTTGTGAAAGAAACAGGAAAACAAAGGTATCACTATCTGGATTGCAAGGGAAGAGAAACTATCTGATCCACCTTCTGTTATCAGTGAAAAGCCTTTATGTTTTTCTTTTATATATATATATATATACACTGTTGTTTGATCTAAGGGCCTCATGCTTGGCAGGTAAGCCTACTATGGCTGTGTCATGACACTAACATTTGTGGTGCTGAAGAATTGAACACAGGGCCTCATGTATGCAAGGCAAACACTCTACCACTGAGCCATTTTCCCCTATATGTAACTTTTTGATGATTGGATAGGGGAGGGGAGTCTCAAACTCTTACTTTGGCT